TGGATGGTGGTTCTATCTGATGGTGGTTCTATGTGGATGGTGTTTCTATCTGATGGTGGTTCTGGTGGTTCTATCTGATGGTGGTTCTATGTGATGGTGGTTCTATCTGATGGTGGTTCTATGTGATGGTGGTTCTATCTGATGGTGGTTCTGGTGGATCTATCTGATGTTGGATCTATGTGATGTTGGTTCTATCTGATGGTGGATCTATGTGATGCTGGATCTATCTGATGGTGGTTCTATCTGATGGAGGTTCTATGTGATGGAGGATCTATCTGATTGTGGTTCTATGTGATGGTGGTTCTATGTGATGGCGGATCTATGTGATGGGGGTTCTATGTGATGGTGCCATAATGGCCAGACGGTTCTATCTGATGTAGGATCTATGTGCATATGGGTCTAGCTGATGGCGGTTCTATGTGAGGGTGATCATATCTGCTGGAAGATCTATGTCATGTAGCATCTATGTGATGTAGTATCTATCCAATGGGGATTCCATCCTTATATGTGGATCTTTGTGAGGCCGTCTATTGGCTGCTGGGTGGCTCGATCCGCTCCAGGCTCATATCCACTGCTTTCTCTGTCACAATTTCTGTCATAGGAATTGAATGTATTGTACATCTTTTACATTGTTCATTCTGTACACATGGCATCCATTGTAGTCTGTCCATCCCGGGAGTGGGATCCTCCTCTGACGTTCTCCCTAAGGTTTCTTCCCTTTTTTCCCTCTTGGGAGGGTTTTTTCGTTTTTTGGGGAGTTTTTCCTGTGCCGATGGTGGGTTTCGGGACAGAGGATGTTGTATGTGTACAGACTGTAAAGCCCTCTGAGGCAAATTTGTAATTTGCGATTTTGGGCTATACCAAATAAAATGAATTGAATTGAATTGAATTTTTGCAAGCAGAGGAGGCCCCCTGCTGGCCACCACAAAGAATGTAAATCGGAGGCATTTCTGGATTGGCTTCACTTTTCATTCTTCTTTCAATCATATAACTTTTCATGCCTCGTTCTCATTCTCTGTCACAATTATGGCTGCAGTAAAATAACTGTTTTTAGTTAGGACCTAATTATTTAACGAAGGGTTTTTCAAGTCAATTAATCAAAAATGTATCTTGGGTGAGAATGGAATTTGAATTCCATGGGAACTCAGATGTTTTTAAAGCGTTCCAGCTGCTGCTCGGTCTTACTCACTATTCAGAGTGAGCTGGATGAGCAGCAGGGCGAGCGCCCCCAGGAGGACGAAGCAGACATATGACTGGCGGCGAGGGAGACAGCGCGCCGCCAGCCAGCAGGCCGCATATGCAGGGAACTCAACAGCCGTCAACAGGGAGTAGTTCAGAAAGGGGTTACCATAGAGACTAGACATGTTGAATGACAGTCCAAAGTAACACACATTGTTGGAAAACCTGCAAACAACAAGAGAACAAGACTTAATCACAGTAAAAGTTGTGGAAAGGAACAACGAGATCTTGTTCTGGATGGAAAAATAAAGGAACTCAGGTGAAAGCAAAAATGTTGGTGAATTCCAGAGGAATTCCTGGTATGGAAAGGGGCCTTAGCTCACCATATGAACCAAAGAATAAGTGTTATATGTCGAATGTTTGGTGTTCTCAGCAGGTCCAGAAAGGTGGAGGACTCTGCCTGCTCACTCGTTGGTTTTTCAACCTGTGAAAAGACGGAGGATGCAGTTCAACGTCCATCACAATTCATTTTGCAAAACAAGGCTGAGCTTACTTTGGCCGAGAAAAAGATGACATGTGGCGCTTCCACCCGGTTCTGCAGAGCCGCCGACCTCAGGAGGAGTTCTGCTTCCTGAATACGGCCACGAGACACCAACCAGCGCGGGGACTCTGGAATCAGCCTTTGGGGCAGACGATTGCAACGTTTGGTTGAGAAATGGGGAAGGAATGTTGATCAAACTGGTTTATCCTGGTTCATCCATCTGTGTGCAATGCAGTCCGCTGAGGTCAAGTGATCTGAGAAGCATGCTTGAAAGTTGCAAGACCAGACACTGTGTGCAGGCCTTTTTCACACAGTTCTTTTGACCATCATTGTAGCATAAAGTCTTCTGTTTGTTTCAAAGTACAAAATCTGATTACCACGGTGAGCCATCAGCCCACCGGCTGACAAGTTTGTGAATGTCATCCTAAAATTCATGTCATGGAAAACAAACTGGTTGAATATTATCACATGCAGATCGATCTTCATAGTGCATGTAAGTCATCTTACCACCAGAGGGGGACACATGCCAGGCCTGGCACAGCCATCGCCAGAGACAAGTGTCTCCAGTTCCGTACCAGGTAGGAAGTGACGGGCAGCATCAATTCACCAAACACGTAAGCCCAAGGCAAGCAAAGGCTGGAGAAGATAACTCTAGTCGAACCCATCAAGATCTCTGAGCCTGTGAACGAAACATCCAAAAAATGTGTCATGCAAACCATCGGCTTTGATTGTATACACGGCCCAAACGTCACAGAGCGTTTAAAATGCTTCCTCGTCTGTGTCGTGTTGGTCCTTTTCTGTACTCCACTGAAACCTCGTTGAGATCAACCACACAGGCAAGAACACAAGAACGCGCAACTACTGGGGTAACGGACAAAAGTCGTCAGTCACAGTATCAGAAGGAAAAGGCCGTACCCAGCACAAACACAACTACGTAGCAGGTGAGCTGACCCAGGCCCAGCATGAAGAAGAGCACGAGGAAGACGGGCCAGGATGAAGCGAAGGCCAACGCGCTGCTGAAGACACTCAGGGCGACGATGGCCCCAAACAGCACAGGCTTCCTGCCAAACCTGAGGTACGAATACAGCCACAACTGCAGCTTATATCTTCCTTTTTACAGGATGGAATTGTTGGTAATTGAGGTCCTGGGCAAACCACGGCTCGGGGGGGCATTCGACCAACAATCATACAGAAACTATGTGGTAAATTGAAGTCCACATGACGTGTGGCAGACTATGTGACACTGTGTTTAGTCGCAGCTTGCTCGGCTCATAGCGAACAGACATACTTTTGGCAAAACACTGTGACTTTGTAGAAAGGTACCGGTCAGAGATTTGTCCAGACACAAAGCATCCCAACAATCCTCCCAGGAAGTAGAACACAGAGGTCAGCGGCTGTTTCCACTGGTCGCTGCACACCAGGTTGAACTGAAACACAAGGCCCACGTGGGAATACCGCAGCAGACATAACAAATATAAACTGGAATATAATACAAACATGGGAATGGAGGATGTATATGGTACTGAGCAGTAGATGAATGAAGGTTGTGGGTGACCAATGGAAACAGTGAGTAAACTGTGGTGTGCTGGTACTCGCAGCAGTCAGCTCCACAGAGGGTAGCAGCAGTAGCTCAGTACCTCACTGACCACTGTAGACTGGTAGTGCTCGGTACTGTAGGTCCATCCATCTCTACAGCCCTCTTGTGTCAGGCTGGAGAGGAGGACCTGTGGACTTGACAGGTTGTGAATCAGCGTGGTTCCCCATGCGGACAGGTTCTGCACCTGGTCCAGCTCGTACCGGCTGCAGCTGCTTCTCTCCGGCCGCCCGTCCACCTGCTGACCAGGAAGAACAACATCAACACATTACAACTTGTGCTGCAACAACGGAAGGAAGACTGAAGCCCGACAGGCCGCATCAAATCCGAATAGACCGGTTCTAACCTGCACGAGGCCCACAGCCAGGATCAAAGATCTGTAGTGAATTATTAGCTGAGTTCATTTCAAAGTTTGTGAAAACCTGAGCATGTACACAACATCAGCTGTGTTATGCCACAGCATTCATCCAGATTTACTGAAAAACCTGCTATTTCACAATGATTTGCCATATTACAGTTCTGCACACTGCAACATGAGCAGTTAATCAAATATACAGCCGGTCTCATCTATTTCTCAACCTTGTTAGTTTGTATGATAAACTAGGAACCTTAAATTTTAAAAAATCAACACGGCCTTGAACAAAGAAAAGCACAGTAATGCAAAGTGACAAAGTACATAAGGAGTACATTTTAAGGTACTTTTACTTGACTTTCTGCTATACAGGTACCAGCAGGGAGACAAATAAACAAGGGAAGAGTGAGTGGGATCTGTGAGGTGGTGGTGAGTAGGTAGTGTGATGGGCACGAGGAGGAATGAAATGTCCTTGCTAGAATACGCAGTAGAGCCCAGGAGATGTGGAGCCAACAGAGTTCTGACCTGTACTGGGATGCTGGCCTGGATCCAGTCGTGGCTCAGGTTGCTGTGGTGGGGGATGAAGCAGTGGTGGGGGGGCGTAGCCAGCAGGAAGATGACGCACAGCAGGTTGTATCCACTTGGGATGATGGCGAGCCCGAGCAGGTAGAAGACTCTCTTCTGAAACGGGCCCCAGGTCCCCAAAAACGACTGGGACTCCTCGTAGTGCTGCATTTCACTGGACGGTACTTATACTGTATTCTGTTTGCCCTTTTTCTTTTTTTACTGAGAGCGTGCAGTCTCAGGTTCACTATGAATGCACACAAACAAATATTTTGAAACTAAAAATACTTCTAGAATAGCAAATAGAGATGTCACCCTAGAAGGTGCGACAGCTTCCACTCGGCAAAACAGCAAGAACAAATCTCCTCACATAACAAAAAGTTATAAATGAGTTTTTCTCTCTAAATACAAATACTGTTAATACACCTGTTGCAGAACTCCTCCATGAGACTTCACACCTCCTTTATCGCAGACAAGAGAAAAAAACTCCACCTTTCCTCCACCTGGCCTCTCCTCCTCCTCTGAGCCCAACTACTCATTCAACTTCTGGGAAATGTCACAAAGAGAGAGAGAGAGAGAGAGAGAGAGAGAGAGAGAGAGAGCGCAGGGAGAAACGTTGTGTCTCTTTTAAAAGGTTACCGTGAAGTTTGTTGGGACCAAGTGGTTCGATTTGATTAAATAAAACAATATGATTTTTGAGTTGAAATTGGGAATGAAGGCCAGCACTCTCCACTCGAGCTGAAGCATGGGTTAAAGTGGTGCTTTCCTGTCATATGTGCCTATATATCAATCTAATAGATTCAACACTACGTATTATGCAGCAGTATAAATAGGTGTAATCTGCAATAATAATAGACGTTGTACATATAACTCGGTGATCATGTTGGACTCATTTGGCCTCTGAAATCTTTGTCTGTTGTGTGACACTTGAAAACAAATACCAATCACTAACATATTCTTGGATGTATCACTTCCAGCTGCACACAATGGTGTTATCATGATTTCCAAAAAATGTAACAGGAGCGAGATGAACGACCTTGAGGTGAGTCCTAAAGTCCTCGGCAACTTTTAACTGGCCTGATCATTAATTTGCACAGCGCAGGAGGAGGAGGATACTGGGTGCTCAGTAAATGATCCAGTGTTTCCAGTCCAATCCAGTCATGTGTCCCTACGCCTCTCCTGACCACGGTAATACCAGTTTATTCAGGTAAACAAAGACTGACTCAGTGACTTTCTTCGTGCATTCACAGACTTTTGGTGGTTAAAACATGCACATTAAAACCATGTCTCAGAAGTTGCAGCTTAAAAAACTATTTTATATCTCTTGCCTTGAAATGAGATCATGACTAAAGCCAAAAACACTGACTGTTGTTACAAATGATCCTTTGACCGTTCCCATCACAAACACAGTCTGCAGTTTTGGAATTACAAGATCACTATTGTGTCTCGATTAACTCCTTCATGACTCCTTCAGTGTAATTTGTTTATAGCAAACACCTGAGAAATAGTGTATTTTGCCAATAAACCTAACGTGCAATGGGGGTTGATTCATTTTGATTGCAACAAGTAAATAGTGTGTACACAACAGCAATATTTAATTTACTCATTATGCAGCATGGCCTTTTCTGAATGATATAATATTGATATATTATATCACTGGATTGTAAGATTTGATCCATTAAAGGTGCGGTATGAAGGATCTGCGGACGTCTTGTGGTGAGGTTTTAGATTGCAACTAACTGACATTACCACAATATTCCATTCATAAGAATAGATCATCAAGTAAATTCAAATCAGCAAATAGCTTTATTTTTTTAAAGAATACGAGACTGATGTCTGTTCAGCATTTTTAAAGAAAACAAATAGAACAGAACAGTATGGTGAGGAGATGCATGTTACATAAGCTGAACCTGACACGTTTGCATTGCATATTTGCATTTAACTCATAAAAAAACAGCTCTGAGAATAAATACTGTACATAAGAAGTGGAAAAAGGTTCTCTGGAGCAGGAGGTGTCCGACGTTTTGCATCTTTGAGTAGGATTGAACGCTGCTGATCTGAGATTAAGTCTAAAAGTAATGTGACTCTAAACTTTTTCTTTTTTCATTGCGTTTTTGATGATTTAATTTGTTAAACAACTTTTTTCCATTCAAAATAATTTATAAAAGGCTTAAAGGTGATAATGGGTTGAATTTAATTTATGAATTTCCGTTTCATTGCGGGAAGAAATATGTAAACAAAAAGTCTGCAAAGTCTAAACTGTATTGATATTATTCTCTTTAAAGTAGGTTGAAATGTATCACAAGCTAAAAGAAAACTGAGTTTAATGTTCAGTTTGGAAAGATACAATTCACAAACCACTCCAACTAAACAATGTTACAGGTGTGTTAAAACAGAGTCCTGTCTGTAGCAGTTTGGGCCGCCTCCTCGTTTAACACACATCCTCCAGAGTTAATAGAAAATGTTGTTTTGTGTTGTTCCAGACACGGAGGGAACACACACACACATGGCTTTCCCTTGAGTTTTGGGTGCATTTCATTGACTTGCATTGCTACCTTAACCTTAAAGTCAAAGTCATTTACCTAAACCAAACTTTAAAGTCTTTGCCCTAATATGTCGATTTTGTCCCCCCCCCCCCCCCACACACAAAAACATTCAAATGTTCTTGGTTTTCCAGCAAAAGTATTTTGACAGTTTCAATAAGCATCGTTGTGACATCATCGGACAGAGGAGGAGGTTTAGCTGAAGAATCCATTTGATTTTTTACTTAGTTTGGATATTGATGAGATTCATGAGCAAATAAACAAAATACTGCATAAATAAACACAAACAGACAAACACACATGTTTGTTCTCTATTGGAAGACTGAGATTCTTCAAGTTCTTCAGGAGGAGACAGGAAGAGAGACACGAAAACATCAACCATTTGAAACCATAGAAAGTAATCGCCGCTCAATCACCAATTCATGATTGTATCATTCACTTCAACTTCAACTTTTTGAGTCAGTTTCTTGTTTGGTGTGTTTACATTGTAACTCTCTCATTCACTACTTTCTGAAACTGTTCTTAAACGTTTGGCTGGTTTAAAATCAAAAATATGGAGCTTGGGACTTCATATTAAGATACAAACGACTTCCATTTTTTCATAAAAAAATTAATACCTTTTGTTCACTCGAAAAATTAACTGCTTTAAATATGTTTTTGTATTTACAAAAACTGCAGGTGTGGAATAGCTGACTCATGACGTATTCCCGGTATGTTAAGTCCTCATACAACACTCCCACGTCCATGTACATATTCTATGTGGGGTTAATGCATATTGACTGCATGGAAAGTGAACTTCTCCTTCAGGTATTCTCCCGCCAATAAGATTGAAACCCTTTCAACCCTCAACGCTTCAAAATGTGACCAGCCAATGAGAGAAGAGCCTTCAGACCCCCCCCCCCCACCCCAAAAACTCTGTTAGGTCTCAAGAAGGAGGAGTTTTTACACCTCGTCGGGTTTTCAATGGTTTCTCCTGGTTGTGGGAAGCTGCTTTACGACCTTTAAAAACCTGGTCATTTAAAATGGACTAAATAGGAGTCTAAAATTGCCTTTTGTTAACACCAAAACAACAGTGGAAAGTTGTGATGGCCATTGTGATCAGGACACCCACAACACGGCATTAATAGCAAGGCAAGACAATATGCAGGAAGCAAGAGGATTTAGTGCAACAAAATATTTTCAATAATAAATAATGTTACTTTTAGGTCTATTGTGTGAATCTGTCTATTGGGATTTCTATTTTTTCATCATTTGAATCCATACATGTGGATCAGGGTAAATGTCTCCTCACAGCCGGAGCCCCATTAAGCCACATACGGGAAACATTTTCTTTCAGCTTTTCACATTTAAAGAGGAAGTTGAAAGCTCAGAGTAAAGCTTGTGACACAACAATTCTGAAACACGCAAACATGTTAATGATGAGCTGCTCTACAGCTTTACTTGGAGCAGCACTAGAGGAAAGTTAATGACACCAAATGTCTCTGGACCAAAGTGCTCGATGGACGGAAACATCACTGCGTTGTTTGAAAGTCGTGACAAAGCCTTTGGGTTTATATTTACAACATTACACACTGTCAAGTAACTTCTCAGAGGTCTGTTACATTATATTATTGTAATTAAGAAAAGCGCTGCTTGGTTGTGGATGGATGGGAAAAGAACCAGTAATGTGTTAGACGTCCTAAGAAGTTCCCCAAGTTCAGTAAAAGTTGCTGGTCAGACGCACCAGGAACTCCAGAAAGTTCTGTTCAAATGCAGTAGGAGCAGGAAGGAGAGGACTGGAACCCAAAGCTCATCAGGACCAAAGTCATGTTCGTCAGGATCACTGAACAAGCAGGAAGCAGCTGGTCCGGACAGACTAGTGAGTCCGCAGTACGCCGGCACCGCAGAGGACAGAAGGTAGAGGCAGGAGTGTGCACGTGAGTTATGAGGAGGAGTGTGCACGTGAGTTATGAGGAGGAGTGTGCACGTGAGTTATGATGCAGGAGTGTGAACGTGAGTTGTGAGGAGGAAGCAGGAGTGTGCACGTGAGTTATGAGGCAGGAGTGTGCACGTGAGTTGTGAGGAGGAAGCAGGAGTGTGCACATGAGTTATGAGTTATGAGGCAGGAGTGTGCACGTGAGTTATGAGGCAGGAGTGTGCACATGAGTTATGAGGCAGGAGTGTGCACGTGAGTTATGAGGCAGGAGTGTGCACGTGAGTTATGAGGAGGAAGCAGGAGTGTGCACATGAGTTATGAGGCAGGAGTGTGCACGTGAGTTATGAGGAGGAAGCAGGAGTGTGCACGTGAGTTATGAGGCAGGAGTGTGCACGTGAGTTATGAGGAGGAAGCAGGAGTGTGCACGTGAGTTATGAGGCAGGAGTGTGCACGTGAGTTATGAGGAGGAAGCAGGAGTGTGCACTTCATTCCACAAGAGGCTCACGGGTGGTTTCATTTCTCCTTTTCGACCTCCCACTTTAGTTGAACATTAGTGGCGGGCCGGCTGTGGGAGGACCTCAGTACAGTGATTACATGACATGATGACATCCACCGTACTCTTTGTTCACTGCTCCTTCAAACTCAGAGGGCTTGACCCAAACAGACCTGAACCAAGTCCACTCTTCTTCTTTGTGTCTCAACACAAGCTGCCTGTCAATCAGGGCATTTTAATCCAGGAGCTGGTTCTGGAGATTGTTGAGATATCCTTTAGATTCTTCTCGTACATTCTGGTTCATCACAAATACCAGTGCTGTTGATCTCAATCAATCTGAAATATGGAGAGTCGTTTGTCAAACGCCATGAGGTGTCAAACGCCATGAGGTGGGGTTCTTTTTAGTTAACATCAAAGAAAGAGGTTTCCATGAATGATGTGTGGGAAACTTCCAGCCACTGCTCGTGACATCAGTTGTGATTTGGATGAAATCACTAGCAGTTGTTGTGGGACATTTCACACCCGGGAAGGAGATCCGGAGAGGGGAAGGTTCTGTTCCCTCAAGACTTCCTTTGAAGTTACAGCCGGTTGAGGAGGTTGCCGGTCTTAATCCCTGCAGACTGGATCGCAGGCCGGATGGACGTCAGGTTCGACTCCTCATCTCAGTACGGCGTGAAGACGATTGATCCTTGGCTCGCTCGGATTGGTCCAGGAGCCGGGCGCATGAAGGCGGCGGTGAAGAGGGATGATGAGGTTGGATGGAGGGAGATGGTCGAGGTGAGGGGGGAGGAGGTGCGAGAGAGGAGGGGGGAGGATGAGAGTGGGGTGGGAGGAAGTGAGATGGTGGAAGTGAGGGAGGAGGGCGGAGGAGCAAAGGGACTAGAGAGGAAGGATGGAGCGAGAGAGGGCTTGACCAACTCCTGCAGGAGAGAAAACAAGGGGAGGGGAAAAGGAGAGGAGATGGAGGAAGCAGAGAAGAGGAGAGGAAACAAGGACAGCCGAGGATATAATTGATGAGAACAAGAGGAGCGAAGATAAGAAAAGATTACAAGGAGAGGAGGGGAGTGGAGTGGCAACAAGTATATAGGAAAGAAAGAGAGGAGACGAGGAGAGTATAGGAAATCAGGAGAGAAGATAAAGGGAGGATAAGATACCAGGAGAGCAGAGCAGCGGCAGCCAGAAGAGGATAGGAGATTAAGAGAGGAGAGGAAACAAGGAAAGGAGACGACATGAGGAGAGGAAACCCATAGAGAGAAAAGATCAGAAACAAGAAGGGTCAATAAGGAAAGGAAACAAGGTGTAAAGATGAGAGGAAATGACAAACAGGTGAGACAAGGAGGTGAACGTAGAAAGGAGAACACAACACAGAGCAGAGATTTAATACATACAAAAGCAAATAAAAGCATCAATCAATTAAACCCAGAGGAAACAAAAGTGATTTCTCACAGTTCTGAAGTATTGATTGAGCATTTATCCATCTTATTGACACACTTATTGATTTGAACTTAGTTATCGTTCATGCAATTAAAGCAAATGTGACTTTGAATTAAACAGAGAGAGAGAGAGAGAGAGAGGGTGGTAGAGAGACCCTTACAGTGAGGGAGCTGCGCGGCTGCTTGTTATAAGGACTGTATTTAGGTTTGCTGGGTTTTCCTGCCACTCTGTCTTTGTGCCTCCTGCTGGAGATGTGCTGCAACAACAACAACCAACATTAATATCCTTCTGGCCGTTGTTACTGTAATTTTTATTTTACGTGGGTAACAAGCAGAAATCCATAATAAGTCAGTTTGCATATCCAGCAAGTCCTATGCTGCTTCATTTTCAAATTGTTTCACGTGTTTTCTGTCTAATGCAGCAGAACAATCGTCCCCTCAGCTCCACATGCGAGACAACATGAATACAGACATCAACTGCCTGTTAAGTGGAAGTTGTAATGCTTTCGGCTGCTTTAACATGAGTCTGATCAGGAGAGAAGCAGTGAAAATGATGCATCCGTGTAAAGTACCTTTAAAATAAGGCTATCATACTGCTGGTGCTTCTACCTGTTTGAGTTGGATCTCGGAGTTGACGTGGACATCACAGATCTGGCAATGGAAGGTTTTGTTCTGCAGGCCGGAGCCTTTCAGCGGAGTGCCGCTGACGCTCTTCAGCTTGGCTCCGGCTCGAGGGTAGGCCTTGATTGGCCCGGCGCCACTCCGAGCCTCCAGCATCGTCTTGTGCTTTGAACCTGCAAAAAGAACACCCGCAATCAGACTTTGAAAAAAGAAAGGAGAATGACAATCACAAACCCGTGTGTTTTAAATTCCAGCATCAGTTTGAAGGCTATCCACCTTGCAGTCTAGTACGCTACAGAGACTTTAAACTTGCAGTGGAACTCATCACCGCGAGGTAACACAAGATAATGACTGAAGCATGTGACCTAAACATCACTCAAGCTCCTACTGCATAAATATAAATAGTGTCAGGTGGGATCTCGCTCCTCCTCACCGGCATTGTGAGCCTCCAGCTGGGACAGAGAGTTGACGGCCACTTTGCACAGAGAGCAGTACAACAGCTTCTTTGCTTTCTCCTCCTCCGATTCCACTGTAGCATCTTTGGAGGAGGCGTGGGAAGGAGGAGAAGGTGCCGATGAAGAGGAGGTGACGGGAGCTGAAGGAGGGTGGGTTTGAGAGGCTTTGGAAGAAAAGGGAGAGGAGGAAGAAGTGGAGAGGAGGCCCGGGGCGGGGAGAGCGGTGGGGGGACTGGAGGGAGGAGGCTCGCTGCCTGGTCTGCTGGAGGAGGGGGAGGCGGAGGAGGGAGGGGAGGAGGAACAGGGGAGGAGGAATGGTTTGAGAGGAAAGGAGTCAGTGAAGCAAGATGAGAGATCTGGAGGGAGGAGAGAGGAGAAGTGATCAAAACATTTTTAAAATATTTAAACCATAATCAAAATGAACAGGGTCAGTGTTGTTGACATCAACCTGTGAGCTGATTGGTGCTGCTGTTAGATGAGACAGGAGGGGCGGGGCAAACAGGACTTGTGATGCTCCCATTGGTCCCTCCAGGGATCGACAGCTTTGCCTTGGTCTTCTTCTCCTGAGACTTGAGTTTCTTGGCGTGACGACTGCCTCTGTAATGAGCTTCTGCCTGAGACTGAAGCAAGAGACAAACAAGAGGCAGAAGAGAAATACATTTGTGTTTACAATTGTTTCTGCCATCTACAGGAGTCCTGATGTCCCTCCTTGCACAGCCACCCTTCCCCCAGCTTCACAGACTACACAGGCACAACACAACAATTTAGGCGTTTGCGGTTCATAAAGAAGTACTTCATGAATTTAACATTAACTTTGTTGGATTCAGGATGATTTATATTTTTTAACAGTCAAAATTGATGACAGAAAGAGATACATGCAGTATTCTTACCCACAACTCCACAGCTCATGATGCATTACGCTAGCAGCTGCTAATTCACAGCGTTGGGCAGGAATGAGGAGCAGGCAACCGAGATCTAGTATCCTTTCCGCTTTCTAACTCCTCACCGCCCCAATTATTTATTTTCAATTTGATCAGTGTTTGGATCCATTGGATTTCCCCTTTGCCCTTCAAAACTTCCTGATTTTAAACTATATGTTTACGAACAATGGAGTCAGTACACTGAAACAAACCTCAAGGTTAACAGTGTCCTCATGTGACTCTGAAAGCAGTATGATTCAGCTTTTTATTCAGGTAATTAGACTCAGTAAAACCACTGCTGCCCTTTCACTACTCTCCTTGTGTCCTCTCTTCTCCTCATCAGTGATTCCTGTTCTAGATTTAAAAGCCCTCATATTAGTCATGTTCAACTAGCGTGTCACCGATGATGCAGATTGCGACTCTACAGTTGTTGTGTGGATGAGTGTAATTTATGAGTGTAATTTAACCTGCAGTGTAATATTATAGGTGGCAGGGATTACACCTGCTTATACACACCTGCTGTTTCACAGCCTGTCACAAAAAACAAGGCAGCCTCAAAAATATCAGCTCTACTTTCATCGGAGAATCGTAAGGGGAAAAAAAGATTCTTACTAGTGCAGACAAAAGGGTTTCATGGAAATCTCTTTAGGATCTCTCGACTGACTTCAGTAGTCAGCTCATCTATGTTAATATTAAATAGAATACTGACAGTCTACGGGACAGTCTGTGAGACAGTCTACGGGACAGTCTGTGAGACCGTCTACGGGACAGTTCACAGGACAGTCTGTGAGACAGTCTATGGGACAGTCTGTGAGACCGTCTACGGAACAGTCTGTGAGACAGTCTATGGGCAGTCTACGGGACAGTCCACAGGACAGTCTGCGAGACAGTCTCTGGGACAGTCTACGGGACAGTCTACAGGACAGTCTGTGAGACCGTCTACGGGACAGTCTGCGGGACAGTCTACGGGACAGTCTACGGGACAGTCTGTGAGACAGTCTGTGAGACAGTCTACAGGACAGTCTGTGAGACAGTCTACGGGACATAGCAACTCATTCATCAACTTACGTCAGAGTTAAACCTCAGCTGGCAGACGTTGCATGAGATGACCTGTTTCTTCTTGGGTACCAAACTAACGCCAAACGTGTGGTTGATGACGGCCTTTTGCACCGGGTCCATCTGCAGGGGTTTACACACAGAGGTTAGAGGTCACCAGCCCGCTTGGCTGAACAGTGATGCCAGAATGACGCTGACAGTGACAGGTCTATTTATCACAATCACTGTGTATCGCCTTCAGCTGCAGCACCCTGTCACTGTTACTGTCCCTCACACACACACACACACACACACACACACACACACACACACACACACACACACACACACACACACACACACACACACACACACACACACACACACACACACACACACACACACACACACACACACACACACACACACACACACACACACACCCTGTACTTCTATCTCTGTGAGGACCGTCGACCGATGCATTCCCCGGCACCACTTACAGTCAACCTGACCTAAACCGAATTCTAATCTGAACCTTAAAACCAAGTCTGAAACAGGTCTTTGCCAAACTTGTCTTTACTCTCAATGCATACAACTCGCGTCTTCAAATAGTATTATGGTCACAGACACACAGTCATACCGTGTTGAAGTTTGGAAAAATACCAACTGGCGACGACGTCTCGACGGGAAACGGCAGGAATGGTTTCATCATCACGGAGGGGCCAGTGGAGCCAAGGAGCCCTGGCAAAGCCCCGCCCACTGCACCGCACCCACCTCCTGGAAACAGACGTGGACAGTCTGAATTATGGGATTGCAATATCTGGTCTTTTTGAATTTACAGATGTGTACTTTGAGCATACTGCGTTCTTCTTCTCCTGGCCCAAGTCACAATTACCAAATACGTTGAGGCTTTCATTTTAGAAAAAACACAATAATTCATCCACTTTCAAGCCACAACAAGGCAATTCAAAGTGCTTCCCATAAAACATCCGAAGACAAAGTAAAATAAATTCAATTATTCTTATTAAACAAAAAAATTCAAACATCCATAGGTTTAATTAAACACAAAAAAACACAAAAGATTTCAGCGGTCTTTTAAGAGAAACTATAGGGTTGCAGCTGACCTGCAGTTTTTTGGGACATTGTTCTAAATATATGCTAAATAAAAACAGCTTCTCTGTATTTGGTTTTGATTCTGGGGACATGAAGCAGACGTTTTTCAGACAACGTGAGAGGTCTGGATGCAAGTCTAAAGTCCTGGTTACTGGATTCATGTCATCCATTTCCTTGGTCTTGAGGACTCAAGCAGCAGTGTTGCAGAATCAGCAACCGTCTTATCCATTTTTAGGAAGATCTGTGTGGACGCCATTACAGTAGAGGACACAATACAGAAGATAAAAGAATGGAAGTTTTTCCAAATCCTGCCGAGACATAAATCCCTTAATTCTTGATATGTCATTCTTAAAGTGACGAGGCTGACTTTGTGATTGTCTCAATGGGAAGAGTAGCAGAAGAGGGATCACTCTCCCAGGATGTACAGTGTGATAATGTCAACAACATAACATACTTACAAAACAACATAAGCATACAGGCTTTCTTCATTGTTTCCATAATCATTGCAAACATGTAGATCTTGAACAGAAGTGGCCCTGCAGGGGAGCTTTGGGGAACTCCACATGTTATATTTGTCATATATATTGTTAGATATATGATCATGTCTACACACAAAGTAGCCCAGTCCGTCTAGTGATATGTTGATAAACTGTTGTACCAGTAACCCTTTGTGTTAATGAAAACAGGTCCATGGATGCATCCCTCCTGGCAAAGAAGCACAAATGATGGAAATCTCCCACTAATGTTTATGTCATTTCCACCTGAAGACCTGACAGTAACAACATGAAGAACACGTGGAGCTGCTGAGGGCAGAGAGAGTTAAAACATAACAAGGTCGAGAAAGTAAATATGTGGCTCACATAATGAGTCCATGTGCTCAATAACCACAGGGCCTTCATCTCCACTTAGAAAGGGCAGACGGAAGCGAAGAACATTACAAAACACATTTAAGAGCCGTGCACGTGATGTTTTTAACATGCACATGTAGCGGCCGTGTCTGACGTGTGAATCCAAGTTTAAAATTAGGAGGTGTTACATAAACAATATACATATGCACAAATACATGAAGGCGCTCCGATGAAGCAAAATTGTATTTTCGTCTATCTTTGTATGTTTATAGTCACAGCTTGCAGATGCCCTGCAGTGAATTCTTTCATAACAACACAGTGTGGGAGGAGACACTGAGAGCAACTAAATTGGTCCTGACAGAGGAGGAGAAGGAGGAAGAAGAAGAGGAGGAGGAGTTAGGGATTTTGTCCATCTGTCCAAGTTTAGTTAGCTAAACCCATTCTATCGCAGTTCACATCCAACCAGTGCAACACTTTTTTTTTAAATCAGGCTTAATCAAGTCACCTCATCCTATGTGTCCCCATCTAGATGCCTTTGAGCCCTCCCTCACATTATAACCCGTGTTGAATGAACTGCTACCAATCCTAACCCAGCCTTAGGGTTGGGATCAAGGATCAACATAGAAAAAGATCAAAGCATTTTTTAATAGATCAGCTTTCACACAGACGTCATCTCTCCGCTATCTGTCTCCACTCCACGTGAAGTGTGTGGAAAGTGAAATCACCTTATTTACCTAATTTATGTGCAGCAGTTCAAGTTAAGGTGAGTGTCCGAGCCCTTTGCGTTGTTGAGTCATCTGTACTGCATGCGGGGGGTGAGTGGACCACAGTCAAACGCCACCGCCAGTGCAACAACAGCACCACAAGCAAAAGGCCAATAAAAGCCATTTCTTAATGGAATCCGCCCGAAGGACGTTCTGGTGACCAACAACACAATTTAATACAGTTTACGTAAGTAACTCTGGCAAAGGTCGCACTGGAGTGCACTCTGACAGCTGAGAGAGAGAAGTCCCACAATTCCTTCGAGGGTCTTCGACTCGATACTCTATTTAGTAAAAACAAGAAGCAGTGTGCAGTTTGCGTCTGCATTTCCTGGTAAAACAGAAGTTTGGGATCAGCACTCGGTAGCAGATAATCATGACGACTCAAATAAGGATTGAGGATTAAAAAAAAGCTTGATCAGAACATTCCTACTTACAAACCAGAAACCAGTACTTGTTGGTCCATTTGAACCAATGACAAGCAAATGGTATCCTTATGGAGAGATGCCTTACAATGCATTGCAAATGATCTACAGTGACATGTGTTGAGTCTAGTTCTAACCATTAAACGTTGATCTGATTAAACCGGAATGAGGTATCGCGGTGTTTGGTTAGACCGGGCCAGGCCAGGCCGGGCCGGGCCGGGCCAGGTCAGCTGCGGGTGTGTTTTCCGACTGACATTAAGATCGCTTTGGATTAGCGGCGTGCTGCGTTGCTGCTGTGTGAGGACATCCTCCTGTAGCAGAGGCGTGAGTCATTGTCTGCGTTTAACACGACAGCTCGTTATGATGTTACAGTTAAGTCAGAACAGCATGACACGACACGGTGCTTCAGTCAAGTGCATGTAGCCCGACATGAAACAACTCAGATCACTGTCACTGGGGCCACTATTAGAAGGGGGATTATTTATGGCCGTACAGTAAATACAAATCAGTGTCTATTTAAAGATGGTGTAATGTGTCATCTTGGTGCACCTGCCAAAATAAAAGTGTCCCCTTAAATATTGCAGTCACATTCAAGATTAACGCTTTTGCTTTTTTTTCTCGGTTGTTTGATGACGAGAAGCAGACAGGGAAGAAAAAGGCAATTTCATGTCACAAAAGGTCCTCGTCTAGTACTTTTTCCATGTACCGAACATGCATTTATTGTACTACCGACGGATATGAGGGCACTGTCAGCATTAGTACGGGTATACATTATATTCAGTAAATTGGGTCTGTGAGTGATAGTTTAGATCATTTGGGGAAAGCCACTGATTCGTAGAATGTCTGAACAGATTCTCAATAACTAATCCATGCAAATCATTTCAAGTTCATTGCTCTCATGCTGGGAGAGGAGGTGGAGGTCATCATGAGTATGACTAAATACTGACATATTCTCCATCTTATTAACTTGTGATAACGTCAGTAGAAGAGAAATGCCTGTAACCTCCTGAAAGACCTCTGGAGCCACAATCAATAGACATTAAAAGAGATCAGAGGACCCGAAGGACCAATCGGACAAAACGCCGATCAGACCGAACCCCATTGAGGAATTTTGAATCCAATCGGAAGACCGCCTGAAACACGGAGGAGAACTTTATGATCCAAGGGGTGAGGTGGTTTCCCAACACCCTTTCAGAACTTTCTCAAGTCCAATCCACTGAAACCACCTCAGCAGCCCATCAAGGAGCATCGGACAGTAGCAATCAGTGTGGGATTCTGGGACAATCGAAGGCTTACAGTCTCCTCAAGGACCATTTGAACTACCTGAACAACCATTTGAACCTCCTGAAGGACCCTGAGAATCTCCTCAAGGAAAACGTGAACCTCCTCATGGGCCTCCTCAACATCATGGAGTGAGTATTGAAAAAACACTTTTTCCAATGTCTGTTTTTCATTGTCCATCGACACCGTCCTCAAATATCCAGCGATTAATATCCTGCGCTTAATGTTGTCATTTAAACAATGTGCGTATACAACATAGAAGTCATATTAAGAATCTAGGGGGACATGCTTTTCTGTGTGATGTTTTGGTGTGTGTGTGTGTGTGATTAATGTTGTGGTGACAGGGTCGTTTTAATTCTGTCCTCCTGTCCTCTGAGATCTTGTTACAACACACACACACACACACACACACACACAGTAACTAGTTGCTGATCTAAGAAGCTGCTATAAATACCGTCACACATTTGCTTCTGCATTCTCATGGAGACAGCCGAAACCAGCATGGAATACGGGCCAACAACCAAGTAACCAAGACCGTTTTACATCAGGCGATTGGCCATTGGGGAAAGGATCTGCAAAACCAGACACCACATGTAAACTAACAAACATTCTCAGTTTAGAGAGGTCATAACTGGAACTGATTTGGAAACCGTTTGCTCTGATTGCAGCTAAAAAAATCAAATCAAATACAAGTTATCTTCATTTGGGTTTTGGTGAATGACGATCTCCATAAACTTAGTATGAGAAAAGTTAATACTGCAAAAGTCAAGATTATACATCTCTCAAGAAAGTGTTTAGCTTGATCGCCAAACAGACAATTACTTCACAAGATTTACTGTTCAACTGTCACCAACTGTCCATAAACAATACTTCTTTTGTGGAGCAGTTTAATACATGCAGACAGGAGGCCAGAGCCCCTTTACACCAGCACTTATTCTCACTAATGCAGCATTAATAGGAGCAGAGCTTGCCAAATAGCCACAGCTGTTACATCAAATTGTCTGTTTTGCTGCAGAATTTCACCATTTTAAATGCAGTTCTTAAACTGTAAGATCAAAAGGTCTTTCCCAGCGCAGAGTGTTTGCTGCCATCAGCAGCTGGAGGGATTGAATGGCCTATGAATTCATGGTAAACCATTTCTGATTCTTAGAGTCCAGTTTCCTGCTGGTCAGACCAGGTTCATCTGCTGCAGTAAGATTTATGATTGGGGCCCGTGTCAGCGTTATCGGTGGCATTCACACCCTCCCTCCCCCCCCCGCCGGCACACACACACACACACACATTGTCATACGATGAAGACGTAAGAAGGAGAATCGTACTTGGTGCTTGGCCGTGTTGTCAGCTGCAGA